ATAAATAAATAAAATAAAACAGATTTCTGCTCTCAAGAGCAACACTTGACCAGAACCTTATCTGACTTGAGAGCCAGGGAATTAGACAACTGATGCCCCTTTCAGCCTCCTCTCTAGAGAAATGAAGAAAAGGCTAGGAAATGCTTCTGAATGTCATATTGCAGGGACTCGAAATCACTAGAAAACTGCAATTTAATCATGAGATTATACAGAATGCTTCCCCTTCCCAACACCTGACCATCACATTCACATAGACTCCTGTATAAAAAACAGTGGATTTCAACTAAGAGAGTGGCAATGCACAGACTATTTAAGAGGAAATTCTTAGGGGTCCCAAAGACAACAAAAAAGTGAGAAACAAATTCACACACATACACAACAAACATTGCCCAGGTCATAGAGATTAACTTGAAAACTCACACTAAAAGCCTGACTACCTCCCTTCCTATTACCAGAAATAGCACATTCAGCTTTCAACAAAACATTATTAGGCTTGCTATAAAAAGCAAGAAAAAAATACTGTATATCAGCATAATACTCGGGACACAGATTTTGGAGTTATCAAAGAGGGAATTTAAAACAACTCTAATTAATATGTTAAAGGTTCTAGTGGATAATAGGCAACATTCAAGAACCGATGTGTTAATATAAGCAGATAAATGGAAAATCTAAAAAAAAGAAAATGCTGAAATAAAAAAGACTGCAACAAAAATGAAGAATGCTTTTAATGGGCTCATCAGCAGACTGTACAGAGCCAAAGAAAATCAGTGAGCTTAAAGACAGGTCAATAGAAATTTCCAAACTGGAATGCAAAGAAAAAAAAGAATGAAAAAGATGGAATAGGGCCTTCTACACTCTTCTTTCTGCCTGAAACAAGTCCTCCTTCTCCACTGCTCCAAAATCTCTGCCTAATGGTACTTGCTCAAGGAAGCACACTCTGACCTCACACATGCTCTCAAGTAGTTACAGCTCTCTATTCAAAGCTTTTGTGATAGTCTGTAGTTTAGTTTTCTTTAATAACACTTATCAGAATTGTACTTTAAGGATTACTTTGTACATGAACACTGCCATGCATGATAAAGAAAGTATTACTAGATTAGCTTTTCTGAGAGAAAGAAACCATACACCAAGATAAGGTACTTTTTTCAGATTTTGGACTGCAGGCAACACAGAACTCAAATCCCTAAGTGAAGGGAATAAAAGTGAGCCCTTCATACCCCAGCTTTCTACCTGGAGGCATTTTGCAGAATATGGTTAAGAGAAAAAGAGTCCAATAAAAAAATAATAGTCTTACTGGGTTCGAAAGACATAAATAGAAGTTTGAAACTGCTGAAGTGTGTGGAATTTATGGTACAAACTACAAGAATAGATGGTAGCTGCTCAGAGATGTAGCTTGAGAAATCTGAAAGGTTCTCCTTGAGTTTGGACCTGAATAAGCTGCAGATATGCAGTAAAAAGTACCTGTGGAAGGGCAAAGAAAAATTAGCTGGTAACTGTTATAAGACAGTGAGAATCTAGAAAAATTCCAGGACAGGAGAAATAGAGAAACTGAGATAAGAAAATTAAACAAGGCCAAACAGTTTGGACAGCTTGAAGCTGGCTTGTAAATAACAAGCCATCATCTTCTCCAAACCAAGGACACTTGAAAGCAAATGGTTAAAGCCTCCCCAGCTAAAGAACGCAAAAAAAAAAATGAGGGGGGAGGGGGAAGAGGGGGGAAAGAGTTTTATTTTACTCCCTAAACAGAGAAACCACCTGTCTCAGAACTTGGCAATATAAAATTGCCAGGTGCTTTCCATAAATTCTAGGAAAGCTATAACAAAGTAAAAGGGGAAACCTTGAGAGTTCATCTGTACCAAGATATTTGGCAGAGGAATTTTGAAACCTACAGACAAAGGGTTTGTAACCACTTGAATCACCACCAGACTTGCTTCCCAGGCTAGTTGGAAAGTCCATCTGCGCTTTAGGCCAGATGTAGTTGAATAAATTTACTTGTCTTGCTTTTTTTTTTTCTTTAATAAATTTACTTGCTTTATGTCTTTAATAAATTGGCTTTATTTCTGCCCTGGCCTGTTTGGCTCAGCGTTTGGAGCATCGGCCTGTGGTACAGAGAGACCCGGGTTTGGTTCCCGCTAAGGGCATGTACCTCGGTTGCAGTTTGTCCCCAGCCCTGGTTGGTGGTGCGGGTGGCAGCCACTCGATGTGTCCCTTCACATCGATGTTTCTCTCTCTCTCGCTCCCTCCCGCTCTATCTGAAGAAAAAAAAATGGAAAAATGTCCTCGGGTGAGGATAAAAAAATAAAATAAAAATATAAATAAATAAATAAATTGGCTTTATTTCAACACATTATCCAAAGTCACTCATTTGAATTCATTCCTATGAGGTTGACAAGAACCAAGGAGGGAACAGCACTCTCCCTTCAATTCAGGGGCTGTCCAATGATAACACATTTTCTAGTGTTTTGGGGTGCCTGTAACAGAACAAAAATTCTGGAGCTAACACTAGGTTAGAAGGCACTGAAGTTTTATTTCAATTTTTTTAAGAACTTTTAATTTTTTTATCTGAGAGAGAGAGAGACAAAACAAAACATCAATTGGCTTCATTGATCAGCTGCCTCTCACATGCACCCTGACCAGGAATAGAACCCACAACCTGGGTATGTGCCCTGACCAGGAATCAAACCCACAACCTTTTAATATATGAGACAATGCTCCAACCAATTGAGCCACGCTGGCCAAAGTGGAAGGCACTGACATTTTAGACAGCCAGAGAAAAGAGGCCTTGATGAAGGCCAAAGCATTCAGGTGACAGCTTAGAAAGACTACACCTAAGGAGGAAGGTGCTTCTAGACCTGGAGCAAAGGGTACTCTAGACCCACATTAAATATTTGTGTCCCCTCAAAATTCATGTTGAAATCTAATCCCCATTGTGACAATATGTGGAGGTGGTGCTTTGGGGAAGTTATTAGGTAATGAGAGTAGAGACCTTATGAATAGGATTCATGCCCTTATAAAAGAGGCCCCAGAGAGCTACCTCAAACCTTCCCCCATTCATTGAGAAGATGGCTATCTATGAACAAAGAAGGGAACCCTTAAAAGACAATGAATCTGATGGCACCTTAATTTTGGACTCCTAATCTCTAGAACTTTAAGGAATAAATATCTGCTGTTTATAAGCCACCCAGTCTATGCTATTTGTTCTGGCAGACTGAACTAAGACACACTAACAGAGCTTGAAAAGAAAATTCTAAAGGATAGAGGCATAAATCAATTGCCTAGAATAGGGTTCAGAAATAGAGCTGCACATAAATAATCAACTGGGATTTTTTTAAAGGAGAAAAATCCATTCAATGTAGAGAGGATAATCCTTTCAAAAAATGTGCTGAAACAGCTAGATGTCCATATGCAAATAAAACAAAATTCAGATAAACTAAACATTAATAAAGCAACAAACAAACAAACAAAAAAGCCTTGTCCTATACCTTATACAAAAATTAACTCAAGGTGGATCATAGACTTAAAGGTAAACACAATTATAAAACTTCTAGAAGAAAACATAGGAGAAAATCTTTGTAGTATTTGGTTGGGCAAAGATTTCTTAAACATGATCTATAAAATATTTTTTAAAAAATTAATGAACTTTTAATATCATCCCAATATCTTCCACAAAGCACAGTACATTTTATATTTAGTAATCTGAATCATTGGAAAGGATATATATATAAAGAAAAAAAATCCACTATTCTGTATTCAATAAAGTTATCCTTTAAAAGTGAAGGAGAAATACTGAATTCCTCACAAACAAAAATTGAGGCAATCTGTCACCAGAGAATTGCCCTGCACAAAATGTAAAAGAAGTTCTTCAGAGAGAATGAAAATGATACAGGTTGGAAAAATAAGATCTGCAAAACAAAAAGCAGAGAATCAAAGAAGGAATAAATAAATAAAAGGAAAATAAATATTTTTATTTTTCTTATTCTTTTGTTTGTTTGTTAATTCTCACCTGAGCATATTTTTCCAATTAATTTTTTGAGAGAGAGTATAAGGGAGGGACAGCAGAGGAGAAAGAGAGAAAGAAACATCTATGTGAGACACATGGACTGCTGCCTCCTGTACACACCCTGACTGGGGCGAGGGATCAAACCTACAACCCAGGCATATATCCTTGATCAAGAATTAAACCTAAGACCCTTGGGTGTGTAGGCCAATACTGTAACTGCCAGTACTATTTTTTTTTTTTTGTCACATGTTTTTAATATGTTGTAAGGTGTCAGCGAGATAACCAGAGACTCACAGCCGAATTGTAAAGGAGCACTTTATTACACAGGGGGGAAAGAGGGGGCTCTCCCTAAATCCTCAGCAACCTGCCTTCTTTGTTGCCTGCTTTTAAAGGCACAAACTACAGAAAAAAACTACATTCTCTTGGTGCCACTTTGGGCACTGTTAAGGGGGGCTGATACAAAGAAGGGGGAGAGAGGAGCTTGTTAGAGGTCAGGGCAACCACTAATCTCTTTTTTCTCATGGTTCCTCTGAGTTTCCCAAGGCCATCATTAACCCCTTATCTTTATAGTTTTCTTTGGGCTTCTCAAGGCCCTTATGTTTACAAGAAAGAGTCTGCCAGGGTGTGTACATGCAGTAACTGAGGGTCAGAATGAAGTTATTACATCCCCACTGGTTATATGTACAAGTCAAATCATTGATCTTTTTTTTCTTACTAAGGATACTAACTCTGTCCCTGTATTATTCTCAAATTACTGGCATAGAAATAGCAGGTTTCACCTAGTGCCACACAGAGTCCTCCCTGCTTGAGGAAAGGGAGATCTAAACCTCATCTGTTTTGTATTGCTGGAGGTTATACTTCTTTTTCTGCCTTCAGCCAGGAATGGTGCAGCCAGACCAGGATGCGGTTGACCTTGATAGCCATTGGTGCAGGCAGGATGATAGTGTATGGTCCCTTCCAGGCCAAAGTTAGTCCCTGGGTGGTGAATTTCTTTACTCACATTGAGTCCCCAGGATGGAAAGGTTGCACAAGGTCTGAGGTGGGCATAGGCAGGGCTTCGCAAATGTGTTTATGGATGGCCTTCTGGGCAGACTGCAGAGCCTGCAAGAAGTGCAAGAGGGTGAGGGGGAGCAGAGTGGTCCAGTTTTCACCAGTTTATAAAGTCCTGTTCATGCACTCTACCTGCTGGGAACTCTGTGGGCAGTTAGCACAATGGAGCTTCCAATTTATATTTAACCCCTCAGAGATATCCTGTGATATCTTTGCTATTAAGGTGGAGCCATTATCTGACCTATGGGTCAGGAGTAGCCTAAACCTGTTACTCCCTTTACTACATCCTAGACTGTTACTCCATTACTAGGGGCAAGCGCTCCCTCTCTCAGTGTCTTATTTTCTTCCCTTCTTGAGTATTCCTCCAATGTCCTGTCTTCCTGTAATATATGTGTCCCTTTCTTTTATCCCTCCTTATCTTTTTATTTCCTCTGCCTAATCCTTCTCTTTTTATTTCTTCCCTCTCCACAATCCTTCTTCAGCTTGCTGATAGACCCTCTGCAACTTTTCTAGTCCCTCCCCTGACATAAACCTGAGAGCTTGCTCAATCTATCTGCTGTCTGCACATCCCCTAGTTTTTCTCCTCCTCCTCCCTACTTAGACCTACTTAGACCTGCTTCCCTCTGCCTTCTCCTTTTCCCTCTGACCTTACTGGATGGACATTGCCTGCCTCTCAGGAGTTCAGTAAGCTTGGTGTATCTAAGTGAGTAGTCTGGTGCAGCTGGTTGACTAAAGTCTGACCTAGAGCCTCTGGGACTAACAACCTCCCATCAGGCAGTGTCCATCATCCATTGATTTCCTTTATGACTTGTTTCTCCTTCACTAAGTCATTTTCTGATCCAGGGTAAGTAGGAGTCAAAGGCAAACTTGGGTTTGGCGTGGTGACTAATATCTGGAGAGGTCCCCACTGGTTTTAGGGCCACCTGTTGAGCTTCCTTACCTGCAGCATGGTTTCCCCTTGCCTCTATGAAATTCGCTTTTAGATGTTCTTTACAATGTACTATAGCAACTGCCTTTGGTAACCAAATTGCATCTAGTAAAGCAAGAATTTCATCCTTAATTTTAATATCCTTCCTGGCTGAGGTCAGAATTCCTCATTCCCGATAAATGGCACTATGCACATGTACTGTGGCAAAGGCATACCTGCTGTCTGTATAAATGGTGATTGTTTTGTTCTTTCCCTAGCATAGGGCCTGAATTAGGGCTATGAGTTTAGCCCTTTGGGCTGAAGTTCCCCTGTTTAATGACTGAGACTAAATGACATGGTCCAGAGTTATTATTGCTGCCCCAGCATACTTGATTTCTTCCTGGACATAGCTGCTCCCGTCCATGAACAACACCTTATCTGATGATGGCAGTGGGACATCCCTGAGGTCTGGGCAGGCCATCTGCAGTGTTGATTACCTCCAGGCAGTCCTGCAGAGGATTCTTCTGGTCATCATTAGGCAGCAGGCTGGCAGGATTGATGGCCAATGTCTTGTGGAACTTGATGCAGGGGCTGGCCTGGAGTGGCAGTGGCCAGCAATTGAATGATCTCTGGAGAGATCATGTCCAAGTAGGAGGTATGTTTCTGGCAGAACCAAAAACAAATGAGTCACAGTATTTTCCCCAAGGTCTATAGTCCTCTTTGAAGTCCAGGGGTAGGTTAGGGGTTCATTGGCTCGGTCAGGACTGTCTGCTACACCAGTATCTACCAGGAAACTAACTAGTCTGTCCCCTATTATCTTGTATTATTCTGGGCTCCGGAGGGCTCAGTTAGAAGGAGCCCTAGCCCTGTCATTTTCCTAAATTAAGAATGGCTTTTTATTTTGTTCTTCTACACCTGACTTTGCCCTTGTCTTTTCTATCCCTAATCGGGACCTAGGCCTGCCATCCTGATCCTTCCTCATGTTTTCCTTTCTAGGGTGATCCTTTTCTATGAGCCCTGTTTCCCTTAAGGCTGTTATTATTACCTTGCCATTTTATTATCTTGTTTTCCCCCAGAGGGTGTCACTTTATTATATACCTTTGAGATATTCCAAACAATTGGGCCTTTAGGCCTAATAGAAGAACACGGTGAAAAGTGTCCAAGGAAGCCCTCCTCCCAGCAGTATTTGGGTCCCATAGTGGGCAGAGGAATGAGAAAATTTCCTCTGATCCTAGGTTTTCAAAAGGATGCTGGAAAGGGAAGCGTCATCCCAGCGTGCATGTTTACATAGGGCAGAGTGTTTTTCAATTCTCCAAGAGCACTTAGTGCCCGCGCCTAATTCCCCAAAACTCCCCAAAGTTAACAGCATTGCAGGAAACCTGCATTGTTACACTCACTGCTGCCAAACCGGAGAGTTGCCCCAGGCTGGCACCAAAGGAACTTGCCCCTTTTGTGGCTGGACTGCTCTCACGGAGAAACCTTGCGGCCCCTGTAGCCCCTGCAGCCTCTGGGTGAGTGCCTGCACACCAGCCTGTTGCCCCCATTTCCTAGGATGAGGAGCTCTCCAAATGGGACCTGACCCAGGTTCCAACATGCCCTGATATTTGAGATGCACGCAGCGGCCTACTGGCAGGAAAGGCCCCTTTCTAGCTATTCTCCCTTTTCCCCTTTTATTGGGAGCTCTTTCCAAGCCTTCAAAGCACAGATATTAATCACAGCTGTAGGGAAGGCACTGAGGGAGTCTTTAAGGACTCATAGCCTTTCTCGGCTTTTTGTCAAGTCTTTCATTACACCTTGTTTCCCTACCCTTATAGCCTTCTACACTGGATCAAGGCTATCTCTAATTAGGGAATAAAGAGTAAATGTGTGGGAACCTTGTTCAGACCTTTTGCTACCTCACAGGCACTTCCCTACCTTTTCCCAGGTTTCTCTTGGGGCGCATTACCAGTATTTCTGGTTTGGAGTGCCTGGCTCTTTAACTATGGGGGTAGATATCTTATTAAATCAAGCCATTGATCAAGATAGGGGAATGGTCCAGGTGTCCTGGCTCCCCTGTGACCTGATTCCAAATTGCCTGCACTAACTCTGGGTCAAAGGAGCCTTTATTGGGCAATCCTACCCCAAAAGTGGGCCATGCTAATTTACAGAATACACAATTTACCTTTTGAGAATTTAATCCCATACCCATATTCATCTCCAAAAGCTTCCCTGAAATGCTGTAAGAGGCAACTGAGGGGGGTCTTTTGTGAATTTGCCTATTTCCCATCCTCCCTAAGTAGATAAATTTTAGCCACAACTCGGCCTCAGATTAAACAGAAAAACAGGAAAAAAGAAAACTGAGAATTCCCAAAGGCTAAAGAGCTGTGGGCTTCCTTGCAGTTAAAGGTCTGTGAGCCAGGATAAAATACCCTTAATTTCTAGTGACACTGGTGGCACCAATGTATATTCTCAAGGAGACAATGGACAAACAGGCTGAAGCGACAGAATAAGCACATGGACCACATATAAGGACAAAAGAAAATACACAAGACAGAAACTTTTTGCTTCGTCTACCTGGCCTTTTCCCTCTCAGAGATTTAGATGCCTCTTGGCATCGTCAGGCCAGTATAATACCCCTCACCCCCTGCACGAATCAGGTTCACAGGTGGAGACCAGAATGTCCCCAAGAATCTGATACTGCCCTTAGCCTTTTTTAGAGGTCATCACGGGACCACAGGTAAGGACTTATACAGGCTCCATAACAAGTGTCATGGAGCACGGTCACTCATACACAATTGCATCCACACATCTACATTCACACACCAGAAGTTCCCAGGAGGTGATCAGACTCCCCTTCTGCCCCAGCGGGGGGCCAAGGAAAATTCCTGATCCAGCAGGAACATAATGAACACCACCTAACGTCTTAGGGGGATCCCAGAAAGGAAGGGTATGCTGCGTCCAGCCCTCTCACTCACCCAGAAAGACTGGTCACCCAGAACCTACCTCCGGAGGCTTTTTAACAGGTCTCCTTAAATTTTGGGGGGATGTCTTGGCATCTCCCAGCTGCTCTTCAGAAACCTAAGTAGGATCTTGGGGCCCTGAAACTTTTCAGGGGGTACCCCCCCCCCCCCCGCTAAAGAACTACAGGTATCCGGTCGCTGGACCAGTAGAGGCCGTTCATCCTAGGTATCTATCTCCTGGTGTCCTACAGCACCAAGGATCTCACTGGGGCCTTCAAATATTGTAAGGTGTCAAGATAACCAGAGATGCAGAGCCAAATTGTAAAGAAGCACTTTATTACACAGGTGGGCAAGAAGGGGGACTTTCCCCAAATCCTCAGCAACCTGTCTTTTTTGTTGCCTGCTTTTAAAGGCACAAACTACAGAAAGAAAAAAAAAAAAACTACATACTCTTGGCGCCACTTTTGGCACCATTAAGTGGGGCTGATACAGAGAAGGGGGAGAGAGGAGCTTGTTAGAGGTCACGGCAACCATTAATCTCTTTTTTCTCATGGTTCCTCTGAGTTTCCCAAGACCATCATTAACCCATTATCTTTATAGTTTTCTTTGGGTTTCTCAAGGCCCTTATGTTTACAAGAAAGAGTCTGCCAGGGTGTGTACATGCAGTAACTGAGGGTCAGAATGGAGTTATTATAAATCTATATTAATTAGTTTATTTTTGTTACAGATGGTTCCCATTTATCCCCCATTGACACCCTTTTCCAAATCCCACCCCACACCTCAAAATAGTTGTCTATGTCCACTAGTTAGGCATACAAGCACATAACTTCTGTGGTTTATCTCTTCCCTCCCCACAACTCCCTCTTCTGAGGTTTGTCAGTCTCTACACAACATCCATGTCTCTGGGTCCATTCTGTTCATCAGTTTTTTATTTATTGATTATATTCAACAAATAAGTCAGATTATGTGATTTTTGTCTATCTCTGATTGGCTTATTTCACTTAGCATAATACTCTCCAGATCCCTCCATGTAGTCTCAAATGATAATAGATCTTTCTCTCTTATAGGTGCATAGTATACCACTGTATATATGTACAGAGCTTTTTTATCCACTCATCTATTGATAAAAACTTGGGCTGTTTCTAGATCTTAGCAATTGTAAATAGTGTTGCTATGAACATAGGGGTACATATATTTTTTTCCTATTTACAATTCTTTTTTTTTGTTGTGGTTACAGATGTTTCTCCCTTTTTCCCCATTGACACCCTCCCTCTCCATCCCTGCCCTGTCCCCAACTTTGTTGTTCATGTCCATTGGTTATGCATACATGCATATAAGTTCTGTGGTTTATCTCTCCCCACCACCCCCTCTTCTGGGGACTGTCAGTCTGTACCCTACCTTCCACATCTCTGGGACTACCCTGATCTTCAGAGTGTTATGATCATTATATTCCACAAATAAGTGAAATCATATAATACTTGTCTTTCTCTGTTTGGCTTGTTTCACTTAGGATAATACTTTCCAGGTCCTTCCATGTTGTCTCAAAAAATAAGAGCTCTTTCTTTCTTACAGCTGCATAATACTCCATTGTGTATGTGTACCGTATCTTTTTTATCCATTCATCTACTGATGGACACTTGGGCTGTTTCCAGATCTTAGCTATTGTAAATAGTGCTACTATGAACATGGGGGTACATATATTCTTTCTGATTGGTGTTTCAGGCTTCTTACGGTGTATTACTAGAAGTGGGATCACTGAGTCAAATGGTAGTTCAATTTTTAATTTTTTGAGGTAACACCATAGTGTTTTTCATAGTGGCTGCAACAGTCTGCATTCCCAACAGCAGTGCACTAGAGTTCTCTTTTCTCCACACCCTCGCCAACACTTGCTGTTTGATGATTTGTTGATGGCAGCCATTCTGACAGGTGTGAGGTGATACCTCATTGTTGTTTCAATTTGCATCTATCTGATGATTAGTGATGTTGAGCATTTCTTCATAAGACTTTTAGCCATTTGTATGTCCTGTTTGGAGAGGTGTCTATTTAGTTCCTCTGTCCATTATTTTATTTGGTTCTTTGTCTTCCATTGTTGAGTTGTATGAGCACTCTATATATTTTGGAAATTAATTGTTTATCTAATGTATCATTGGCGATTATGCTATCCCATACAATGGGTTGCTTTTCCATTTTGGTGGTTGTTTCTTTTGCTGTGCAGAAGCTTTTGAGTTTGATGTAGTTCCATGTGTTCATTTTCTCCTTTGATTCTGTGGCCTTAGGTGAAGTATCAGTAAAAGTTCTTCTGCATATGATGTCTGAAATTTGTCACCTACATTGTCTTCCAGGACTTTTATGGATTCATGAGTCACACTTAAGTCTTTTATGTATTCTGAGTTAATTCTAGGGTATGGTGTAAGTTGATGGTCTAGTTTTATTTTCTTGCATGTAGCTGTATAATTTCCCCAACACCATTTATTAAAGAGGCTGTCTTACTCCATTGTATGCTCTTGCCACATTTGTCAAATATTAATTGAGCATATTGTCTTGGGTCCATTACTGGGTTATCTGTTCTATTCCATTGATTTATGGGCCTGTTCTTGTGCCAGTACCAGGCTGTTTTGATTACAGTGGCTTTGTAGTATAACCTCATATTTGGTATTGTGATCCCACCTACTTTGTTTGTTTTTGTCAAGATTGCTGTGGCAATCGAGGTCATCTTGGTTCCAT